TCCCATACTGATTCCTGATGCTTCACATGTTTTAAAATTTAATAATCTCTGCTATTGCTTTTTATTCTGAATAATACATATTGTGCAATATACTAGCGTTCGTGTAATAATTGACTAACGTTTCACTATACACCATTACATGAATTGTCATCTAAGATAAGTTATAGTTCTGATCAAACGCTCGTAATGATCATTGAATTATCAATACATCATTATGGGAAATCATTTTCCGCAGTAAAGATACAATGAAAAACCTCAGTAAAATTAGCCATGATAGGTGAAGTTTAACTTTGTCGGGTATGAGATAGGTACTCAGCTAAGATATTAGAAAATCGTTGCTTAATATCACTAATTATTTGTGTACACCTTTAGATTTCAGCTCAATAGTCTATAGAGTAAGAGGTTGGACTCAATACCGAAGGACTTGAGATAGATCCTCCGCGTCAAGATCATGGATGGATGTTGCCGAACAGTCTCACACTAGGACTAAAAACATAGCTGTCCAATGCTTCCAGGTTTTCAGTGGCTGTTTTGTGGAAACCTTATTTTATAAAATAAAATCATTCTTACTAATGTACTTGGATTTATGCCAACCAAGATAATACGTGTATAATTTATTAGACATCATGGACTTGATGTTTATTGCTTATAATGCAAAAATTAACAATGAATTATTCATTAAATAAACATAAAAAACCACTTAATGAAATTTTAGCAATTAATGTACATAAAACATGAAAAGTTAGTCTAAACAAGGTTATATAGTATAGGATAAAGGTAATAATCATAGTTGAGTTCTTAATTTCCGGTTATTAATTAGGCAATCCCTTTTAGTGTGTGTATCATGAACGCATTACCTGTATAGTGTCAACTAGTCACGTTTAGAGCCGAAGGTAACGGGTTCGATCCTTAGCATGAATCCGAACACTGTGATAACAGTATATCCAGATGACAGTCTAAAATAGGAAGAGTACATCCTGGAACTAACCACCAACCATCATGCAACTTCAATGAATGCAACGGTTGTATATACTAATCGATCATTAATTTGTAAATAATATCATCTAATCTAGACCCGAAGTCTACGAAAACTGCAATATGTTTACAATTTTGAATGTTAGTAACGAGAAAAAACTTATTTGGTACAGTCAGATACAATTATATATAGCATAAAATCTAGGTTTTGTGCTTGTGAGTACTTATTAGTGAAGTGCAGGTCTGTTTATGAGGTATCTAGTATTTCATCAAATACCTAAACTTGTACTGCACGATGTCACTATCTAGAACGTTGGCACTCAGCTCTTGGATTCGCAATCAACAACTTACGGAGGTGGGTACGATGATATTCACGTTTATTAAACAGTTCAGATGCCATGAAATCTCTGTGACACTGCAAGTAACTTGGTGATAATATATTGGATGATGTGAATTCATATTAAAGTAAAATTTGTCTGGACGATTTGGATGTATCTTATCAAGAAGTGGTAATAAACTTGAGATGCAATTCTAAAACCTTCCTATCGATTGCTTACGTTCATTTAAAGGAAAAAATTTTTGATCTTTGAACTCTGAAATTCGATCTTCAGCATCTCATCAGACAACGTAAATTTATGGATACTGGCGTCATAATAAATAAAATTCCTCACGGTAATATTCATATCAAACTTGGTTCGAATCACTATACCTTCAGACAAATATATACCACACCGTTCAGTGGTTGTACCTTTTTATTTATTCAAGGGATATACGAATCAGGATTGCGACAACACCAAAGTCAAAGCAGATCGTATGGGTACATGGTATATCTGACCAAGGTATTGTGAATTTATAAATTACTTGTCTAACCGAAATTACCGATCATATGCTCTTATCTGAATCAGATCGGACACCAGTACGATTAAATAGTTGAGGTTATCTGTGTAACTTGGATATTAATCTTTGATTCAGCAAATCGAAAAGCTGTTTCGTAACAACAGTTTTACAGTTTATTAAACTGAATTACGCACTTCCTGAATCTAAGTTTTTATGTTATCCGACTAATTTTTCAGACAATACTTAGTAATCTAGACACTTTTTCACACGATCTGAATTGCGTGATTGCATTTAGATTTAGAATTTCCGATATGTGAAGCTTCTTATGTGATCAGATGGCATTTGGACAAAGTAATTTCCAACATATGGTTCATAGAGTGCCCTAGGAGTTATCCGAAAATTGTTAGCATTAGTTGAAATGTGAAAAACGATTAATTAAAGGAATAAAAGTTAAGTAGAAAAAAGGATAGATGACGAATGAGATAAACTGACTAGTCACAAGGTAGAGGTAATTTCTTTATCAGATAACTTGGGCAGAAGCTTTTAATTACGTATTGATCTCCCATTAAAGAATCCTATCGCCACCTTGCAGATGATATAGTCCTGGTTGGTGGAGTGATTGGCGAAATTGAAGGATCTGTAAATTTTAATTGACGATCTCATCAGTTCATATTAGCGTGGCTACAAGGATTAAGTAATTAATTTGTGTCGCAGTCAGTTACCGTCCTATTTAGACCTGGATAAGCCTTGGTAATTAACTGTTCTTAATAGGCTTTACTCTAATATACAGTAATATCTGTATGGATATACAAAATTATTGAAGCAATCAATATTTATTTATTGACTTAAACACATCGTTATTGGTACAAGGAGGCACCAAATACATATGCGCCACACAAATCTCATTTGATATGTGTGAAGGCTGTGATACTCCCCGGGTGCCCAAACCGAAGCAGGTGGTTATCTTAGGGGGCCACACCCGGAGCTTTCGACCTGAAGGTTTGATCCACAAGGCAGTGGAGCAACGTAAGGAGATGCAGTCCCATGGCAGCAGGTGACCAACGATTGGTTCATATGCCATTTGTTCCTTCAGTATACTGGAGCCCATGTGCACCATTGGTTTGGAATCAGGGTTTTCCAACTCCCCTAGGTGGACTCTCCACGTCCACCAACCCGATTAAAGCGAGGGGCAGTGAGTAGGACTTCCCTAGCAGACGCTATATACGTGTGGCCATGTGAGAGCATTTCGAGAGGGAGAGCGGACTCTCCCCACTCTCGGTCATACCAGTGTATTTGGGGGCTTGATGTTTACTTTAGCATTCGAACCCAGTACCAGTCAAGGCAGTTTATGAGTCAGAGATAACAGTGGAATAGATCATATAAATAAGTGAAAAGTACAAATTGGTAGCGTGATGATAAGTGTACTAGTTGTGATAAGAATAACAAAGGCTTGAATCGACATTTCATAACAAAATGAAAAAATATAGATACTGAAATAACATTCACTAAAAATTGTAAGATTATGTAACAAGAAGTGGTCAGATAAATGAACAATGAGGCGTATATTTAAAAAAAGGGAGGGTGAAGAAAAATAAACGAAGATTATGGAAAATAATAAGAAACAGAATTTTTTATCAAGATGAACTCGGCCAAAGAAGAGATAAAGATGTTACAAATTTCTTATTGATACAAAGACTCGGGTTAATGGCTCGAATCGCTACAGCTTCTGATAAAAGTAAAGGAAGAAACCGGACTAAATCAGGAAAACTGATAGGAATACAATCAATCACTTCAAATGACCTATTTCTACCTAGTACATGACCGCTACCGATCAAGTGTGATAAAACAAAGCTGCGTATTGTTTTGACGATATCCTTTCCTAACTACGAAGGTAAGTGTTTACAGATTCATTGGCTTAGTTGTCTGATTATGCGTTCGATATAGCTTTCCCCACAGGCGCAGCTGAATTCGTAAATAAACTTGGATATCAAAACCAGGTCAATTATCATTTAGTTGAAGAATCACCATAGGTCGGCTGGATAGACACAGAGGCTAGTTGCATTAATTCAGCTATATTTGAGTAAAGCATGATGAGGATCTAATTGAAAACAGTATTGTTTACTTATGTATGTTGTTTTAATTCACAACATAGGAATTCTTAAAATCAACTGTCTACATTCTTATTATTCCAGACAAAATGGAATTTAGTTTTAATTGTTAAGGAAAATTTTCCGATATAAGTGTTTACCATGATTTCTCCAACATACGGAGTATGGTAGTTTTTCCAGCTGAAAGTTCAGGAAAAAACTTATTTGATAGTATCATTACCAGTATGAAATAGGAAATCTGAGACAATGGAAAGTTGATTCATTTTTAAAACTTTGTAACAACTTGAACAGAATAAATATACAACATCTTTAAGTACTATATACAACACTTAGTAAATGATTTCCCCGTTTGTTACTTAATTTTTGAAATTTGTGACAAAATTAACGACACCTTTATTTCATCAAGTATTAATCAGTGTTGTACTTGATATCATCAAATCAAGTAAACATTATATATTCAAATAAAGTACATTACTTCGCAAAGATTCTATCTAATGGTTATCTATGAGTTACAATCAGGAATCTTATATTGACGAAACAACGTTTTAGCAAAAGCTAAACTGTCATAATAGAATAGAAATGAACAAATACGATTATTTGATTAGGTCTACAAATAGTAAACTTCCTGTAAGTAATCGATTTTAAATGAAAGTCTAGGACTTGTAGAGTTTGCAAACAAATTTTCTTCACACCAAAACTACTTAAACAACTGAAAATTTTGCAAGGAAAAACATCATTTCAAAAAGTTGCCTACCCGGAATGCTGATACACAATTTCCTATGTACTCCTTGTTATTAACTCAGACTCGTATATTTGGTTCCGTCGCAAACGTTTTGAATGTATAATGGTTAGTGATACTGGTCAGTTGACCATACCAAACAGAGATTCAATCCTGAGAGTTAGTGGTTGAAAGCAAAACGCCTTAGAAATTAAGACAACTGTTCAACTACGAGCAGTACGGTACAACAATCCAAGAACGTGATAATGAAAATAAACCATTGAACTTTTAAAAAATCCATTTAAGATAGTTTGATTAAAGGTTTAAACGATGTAATACATGAGTACCAAAATTTAAAAAGGCCATAAGTAACAATTATTATAAAGTACATTGTTACATCAGCTGTGAATGAAAATTATTACCCGAATTAACAATAAATTACTACTAAATGATGTAATACATGAGTACCAAAATTTGAAAAGGCCATAAGTAACAATTATTATAAAGTACATTGTTACATCAGCTGTGAATCAAAACTATTACCCAACTTGAGAACAAGTTCCTACTATCTTGAAAATCGTTCATATCAACATTTAACTGAATAAAAATGTCGACAATTCGATCATTTTTACACCTTTCTATTAGGCCATTTCATCTGTTCTGGAAGAATGTAACGCGATGCTAGTGTTAAAATAGGCGTACCAGTTGGAATGCCAGGACAAGGACCATTACTTGAAGCGATATCCATATGTGTGTACGCCAAAGGCTTTTCAGTATTTTTCAAATGCTAGGGAAGTTATAAAGAAATAAATATTTTAATTAAAAAGATTGTCGTTGTGTCATTCAATGACGAAAGCATTTATACGACTAGTAATACATGTTAATGTAATGTCCAGTTAACTAAACGAATAATAAAAGTGTCACAATTTGATCACAGTGGTTATCGAATGATGTTTACAAACCCCCTTACATATTAGATATACTTACAAATTAGATAAATTAAATTCTCTAAAAAGTGGGCGTAAGACGAAAATAGAGATAAAACTACACAAAAATTCTAACTGGGACATTAGGCACGACTGGCTAAAACTGAGAATTATCTTCTCTGAGTTGAGGATGTTAGATGACTCTGTGTTTGATTATCGTTGTCTCCGACGGATTACCGACATCCAGTGGCAACACCATGTTAGTAATGCAGAGGTTCGAAATCGTGTGTTCGGGCACAGCGACGACAATTCAATTGTTATCACCACCTTGGAAAATCGATAGATGCTTACCATCTACTCTTATTTGGTTAATTGATTTCATTTGTGATGGTACATGTTAAAACACCCTCTTTTGCAAATCACAATTGCTGCTTCCTACACATTTGTGATCACAAACACATGTAAAGTGATAAACACAGTGGGATGTGACTCAGTCGTTTACATCCCGTTTAGGTTCTCAGCAAAGAATGGACCTCGCTCTATCAATAGTAATGACCTTTGCCACATAGTACATTTTACTGGAAAATGATAGTCAGTCAGTAACAACGTAGAACTTTGTACGTACGTACATCAGTTTGAGTTGCCACACCACATTAGCACAGAGATTCAGTTGTCAATTTAAATCCCGTAGTGGTAGAGGTAATAAGAGTATAAGCAGTAATCGGGAAGATTAGGGTTTGGAGATGTTATTCAAGGAGTATAGTCCAGTGAAATAAATTTGGAAAGAGGAAAAAAAGGGACATGAAGAATTCAAAAAGATTAGAATTTGGGAGAACACAAAGAGTGGATGCACCTGCGCCATTGCAAACGATTTTGAGCCATGTCATTCAGGGTCTCTAACCATCGGTTGCTATCATCTCGTGATCCCAAACCAGGTAGTCTACACCTACCAACATGACTCAGTCCACTTGTCAGTGACTTCATGGATTTGTGCCATGTTTTGGTCTGACCGCCCTTAGCTTTCTTCCAACCTACTCCTATACCACTGAACATCGCACGTCGAGGCAGTCGGTTGTTGGGCATACGTAACACGTGTCCCAGCCATCTCAACTGATGAAGTTTCACTACTTCATCAACTGATTTTCCATCCTTACCTAGTACCCGATCCCTAACAACTGTGTTGCTTACTCGATGGTCTCATGATATATGAGCAATGTTTCGAAGACCTATGATCGAATACTAGTAACCTACGAATATCCTCTACTATTACGGGCCATGTTTCACTGCCATAAATTAGGACGGAACGAAGTGCTGCTCAGTAAACCCGTCCTTTGGTTGATAGACGGATATCTCGCCTATGCCATAAATGACGCAAGTTGGCAAAAGCTAGTCGAGCCTTCTGTATCCGTACTGAGATTTCGTCACACACCAAACCACAAGGGCTGATGAGACTTCCAAGATAAGTGAAGCGGTCGACACACTCAACTACTTCACTCCCTATCACTAGTTCTGGTGTCGATGTAACCCAATCCTGAAGTAACATTTTGCATTTCGAGGGAGAGAATCGCATCCCGAACATGCTTGCATTGTTGCTTAGAGTGGTCAGAAGACTCTGCATTTTGTCAGCGTCTTCACCAAATAAAACTATGTCATCTGCATATTCTAAATCAACAAGTGAACCTCCCGGTACAAGTCCAACCCCTGGAAATTTAGATGAGGAGAGTGTTATCTCTAAAAGTACGTCGACCACAAAGTTGAACAAGAATGTGGAGAGTGGACAGCCCTGACGAACACCACTTGAGGTAATGAATTCTGATGACAGTTCGCCATAAGTTCTCACTCTACCAGTTGTGTTCGAGTGGAGAGCCTTTATAAGGTTAATGTACTTCTTTGGTACTCCTTTCAGTGACAAACACTGCCATAGAACCTCACGATCAATAGAGTCGAATGCCGCCTTAAAGTCGAGAAATACTACCATTGTGGGGCGTCTGAATGTGTGTCTGTGTTCTAGAACCTGACGTAGTGTGAATATCTGATCTATACAGCCACGCCCAGGTCGAAAACCGGCCTGGTTTTCTCTAATCTGCTCTTCACGAGCTTTGATTAGGCGTCGAAGTATTATTGAGGCTAATATTTTAGACACTATATTAGTCAAACTGATTCCTCTGTGATTGTCACAAGAGGACTTTTGTCCTTTCTTATAGACTGGCACAATCAGTGATTGAGACCAGTCAGATGGGATTACGTCCAGTTCCCAAATTCTACCTAAGACCTCGGTTAATCTCATTGCTAATACTGGACCACCATCCTTAAAAATCTCAGGAGTAAACCTGTCGGGACCTGCTGCTCTCCCACGCTTCAGATTTCCTATGGCTTTTTAAACTTCGTAAAGGAGCGGAGGACTTACATTAACTTGCCATTCAGGTTGACTAGAGATCGTGGGAAACCGAAGTGTGGCTGAAGGCCAGTTGAACTGATCTCTAAAGTGTTTTGCCCATCGATCCAATCTCCTGGATTGAGAATGAATAATATTTCCATCTTTCTCTGAGATTGTTTGGCTAACGGTCGGGTTCCTAATTCCGGTTTCCTTAACGAGTCTGAACAATTGTCTGCTATTACCTATTGCCGCTGCCTTTTCCATCTCTCTTGCTTTCGCTACCCACCACTGTTCGCGATCATTGCGTAGACTTCTTGTCAGCTTGCGCTTAAGCTGACTCCGATCTTCATTATGTTCAGAGCCAGGTGGAATGAGTTTCCGAGCATCTATCAGTGCGATAGATGCTGCTGAGATCCAGTGTTGCTCCCTAACCTTCTGGTTTACCTTACTAGCAGATATCACTGCTGTTTCCATAGCTTTTCGGATATCATTCCATGCTGCCTCAGGGTGGGCATCACATACATGGAAAATGATATGTTTCAACAAAAGGCTACTAGACTAATCTCTGAATGGTAGGGTGATGTAGAAAAACTTTTTCGTTGTCAAAAGTGTAGTAAGTCTCAATGTACTATGACCTATACATAGATTTATGAATTCATAGCATAAAAATTCTTCAATGTTTTTCTCCGTAGCATCACATCGTTTCCTTATTACACTATTGAAAGATATCAAAAAGACTAATTGTTTTAAATAATAAAATAATAAATAGGACGTACGGAGTCCAAACCAGATGCAATAATCATAAATGCGACTGGAGACTGATGCCCTCTGCTACGTTTCCCACCAATCAGACGAGCAGAATTCAATAAATCAGAATATTCTTCATCAGTTTTATGTGCATCATAATCTTCACGTCGGAGTGTTGATATCTAGAAAGTTAATAATTATGTAACAATAATAATAACATATCAGCAAATTAACGTAGTTGAATAGCAAATTGCAAAAAACATGCTTTCAAATCAAACATTTAAAATTAGATAATCGAACTACTAATATTATAATGCAGCTCATTTATTAAATACAGGTCTATCGAAGATAAACTACTTAAACTCCGATAATCACTAAGAAAGAATGGTTATCCTACCAAATTTATTGACAGAAAACCGAAGCAAATAAACCAAATTCAGAGAGTACTTACAGTATCAAAGAAGAGTTCTCCCATAAATATAGAATTTAAAAGAGATGCTACTGAGGAAATTCTGGAGAGATCAATTTCAAAATATCTGAGATTATCTATTCTGCAATGTTTCGTATCGTCTTCTACAACAGGTTTATCATTTATGAGTGTTTTAAAAATAAACCTTTGCTTAGGGTCAAGTGTATGTGTAACTTTATAAGTTTACTTGCTCTTATGAGACACCTTACACTGGGGGACATGAAGCGAATGCCATCTAGATACATTATAAAACACTACCTGGTGTAGATTTTCAAAGAAGAACACAAAACTGTCACCAGATCAATACAGGAACATCTCATCAACTATGAGCACATTGTTCATAATAATTTACACAGTTTAATGAGTGGGATCATAAGAAGTACATTTTAAAAATAGGCTCAATTACATAGCATAGGGCTACCCTATACATAAGAGGCCTTCCGATACTATCCAAGAAGTTATGGACAGGTGTCCCAATCTAATATGGGACTTCTGAAAAGAGAACATTCGTCACCTAGCAAGGGATCAAACTCATGACCTCTGGATCTCACAACGAGGACAGTCCAGTTTCTACTGACTTTTAGCGGTTATCTATGGTTAGCCCAAGATGTGTATAGTACAACATTATAGAGTACTGATTCAACAAGAGCGAAGAATTAATAATACATCACCACACATACAAATTCAGAATCTTTTACTACAAATCGTTTTCATAATAAGTTATATTTCATTACTTTGTTAAGCGATTTGTACGTATGACCAGAATAGTATAAGAGAATTAGAGAGAAAAAAACAAAACAACGTAATCTGACTAATACTTAGCCTAACGCACTTCATGCATTTCACCTAACAATGATCCAGCAAACTGATAGTCATAATCTTCTCCAAGTTCTTTAGCTGGACCATTACAGACGATACCCTATAAAGAAAACAAAAAGCATAAGAATATACAACAAAAAAAGAAATACATGAAAGTAGACCCAGATGACTACAACATAAGTAGATTGAAGTATCAGAAATCATTGTAAAGAATTATTTACGCGACACAACATAAATTTAATTCGATTTTCGATTTTTCACTAGTACTATTAGCATTATGTATTATAAAAAACCGGAAATTGAGATGTATAAAACCCCATACAAAAACTAAGACTTATTAATATACATAAAATAAGAAAGTACTTATATGCGTGACATAGTGAATAGATGTAATAAAAAAAATCCATGGCAAATATATCCGGTAAATAATATGTACATTATTATAAACAATGATTAATATGAATACACATTAAAAATGGGACGAAACGACTTATTTAGGCAATTTAAACAGAATTTTTGTAGAACGTGGATAAGCCATAGCTAATGAATCTTACGAGAACTATATAAATCTGTAGGAATAACTAGAATAAAAGATTGTGCAATATGATAAGATTTGAAAGTGAAGTAGAAAATGGAATAAACTAGTCGGCAGTGAAGAGAGTTGGGTTGCTGAGCTACAGATTATGATAATTAGTAGATAGTTTATTTAGAGCAAACAGTTCAAGATTCGTCAGTAGTACAACAGCAGCAAAAATGCACTGATTTACATAAGTTACTATCGATGAAAAAGAAACTCTCGACAGTAACTTTGATGCTTCGGCGAATGCCACAATACAATTTCGGCAACAATCATTTGCTCACTAGTGACTAGTTTTAAGAAAAAAAATCCCAGTGAGTTATGACGGGTGTTCAGCCATGTTGGGTGAGACAGGATGGTTGTGAAATATTGCGAGTTGGTTGAAGCTAGACTTGTACATCATTGAGTCTAAGCTAACGGTCTAGAGATTACTCGTTCGCGCGCGTGAACGAAGGCTTTGGACACGATTCATGCGTACATAGTTGTGGATGCGCACTGTTGAAGTGCTCCATTCAAGGGAGAAACAGCCTTCTAGTTCTACCAGGTTGTTAATGCTGGTATAACTTGGATCGATTTTTGATTTCAATGAAATAACCATTTAATCATATGTTTGTAGTTAATTAGTAAACAGGATGAAATTGAGTAATAACAGAGGGAAAGATCAATTACTGTAACTGATATAATTGGTACACAGAATTTGATTATAAATCAGTCAACAACTCTCTTCTAGACATGTGGAGAGTTGTAAATATAAGTCAAGCTTGGAAACTATACGATTACTTTGAAATGAAAGTTCAGTTTATTTCTAGATAATAATGCAGTTAATTTCGCTATATGTTTATAAACCTCCAGAAACAGCCTATTATAATAAACTTAAACGGGATCGATGTGTACATACGATTAAAACTATTCATCTGCATATTGACACTTATAAACAAATGACTGTACTATATATGTCACACAACGATTATTTAGTAACACTAGATAAGGTAAAATTAAACAAATTATCTACAAATAAACTATTATATTCCATATTTTATTTGCATACATGTTATCGGTGTGTTATAAGATTGGTTCAGGTTGATTTTCACAAGTTCAATAATACTTTATTTGATCATCCATTTGTAATCCTAATTATTTCAGTCAGACTTTTGAAAGAACACTAAATCGAGGTCGTTTATACGGTGTGTTTTGTGCATAATTTAGTCTGTCATTTATAATAAAATTATAAACTCACTTATAATACATAGTAATATTCAATGGAAAGGATTTCACAAAGCGATTCAATAAATAAGCCTAAACATTACCGTATATCCTAGTCCATAGCATAACCCAACATGACCAGTCAAAGTGGCGATTGTCAGTAGTCGTGGATTTGATACTTTCAATGCCTACAAAATAAATGTAAATGTATATTTCGAACAACTGTTGTGATATTAAAAAGAAAACTCTTGAGACCACCACTGTAGTTATCATTATTTTAGACTGTTGCCTTTGTATTCCCAAGTAGCATCTTGATGTAAAGCCGCAAAGAGCTTTGCTTCGTTTTGGTGACCTACCTGAATTAATTGTGTTATTATTGCTTAATCAAGGTCATGTGAATATTATTGAAGCCCCCAGATGCCCTGGTATGGCCGAGAGTCGGGTGGGCCCGCCCACCCTCTTGAAATGCTCTCACACGGCCACGCGTATACAGCCTCTGCCAGAGAAGTCCTACTCACTGCCTCCTCGTGGCGCCATTCAAACTGGCCGCCTTCAACGTTCGCACACTTATGCAGGTCGGACAACAGATAGGGCTGGCTATGTCTTTGGAAAGCTTGCGTAAGGACTGAGAAGCCTGGTGGTCGAAGCGTGCTAATGAGTTGGAAGCAGCAGCTGCATCTGGTAATTACCGGAAGCTCTTCCAACTCATCCAAGCCACTGGCAGCAAGAAGTCTGTTGTGAGAGAAAAAATCTGCGAGGATGATGGGATGCCAATCACTAACATCCATCGATGTCTTGGACGATGGGCAAAATTCTTCGGAGGGCAGTTCAACTGGCCTGCTGCTCCGGCAACATCGGTCAGACTGTCCTGCCCTCCATGGCCGGTGACGACTGATCCACCAAACGAGGAGGAAGCCCGCAAGGAACTCCAACTCTTGAAGCGTTACAAATCACCTGGCCCAAATGACTTACCTCCGGCTCTTTTTAAAGATGGTGGTGACTTTTTGACTAAGGAATTGACGACGTTGTTTACAAAGGTTTGGGAACTAGAGAGTGTACCAACGTCATGGAATGAGTCGATAGTTGTCCCTATCTTTAAAAAGGGTTCACGTCGTTCCTGTAACAACTATCGGGGGATAAATCTACTTCCGATTGCGTCCCAGCTATTGGCTTCCATCATACTTCGTAGGTTGTTCAAAACCCGAGAAAGATTGACTCGCGAGGAGCAGGCTGGTTTCCGTTCTGGTCGAGGATGTATTGATCATATCTTCACCTTCCACCAAATGTTAGAACACCGCCATACTTATCAAAAGCCAACAATCGTAGTGTTTCTTGACATTAGGGCTGCCTTCGATTCGTTGGATAGGACTGTTCTCTGGGATTGTCTATTGAAGAAGGGTGTGCCTGAGAAGTTTATTAACATCCTAAAAGCCCTATACACAAACACCTCAGGCAGAGTGAGGGCATACAACCACCTCTCTCCATTGTTCCATTCGAGCAGTGGGGTTAGGCAGGGTTGCCCAATCTCACCATTACTCTCCAACTTTGCCATCGATGACATCCTGGAAACAGCTCTGATGGATGTAAGTAATGGCGGTGTGGACCTGTTGCCTGGAGAAAGACTTCTCGACCTTGAGTATGCGGACGATATTGTCTTACTGTGCGATAATGCCCAAGCCATGTAATGCGCACTTAATCAGTTGGCCATCAGTGTCCGTAGGTATGGTATGTGCTTTGCACCTTCGAAGTGCAAAGTACTTCTACAAGACTGGCAGGATCCTAATCCTGTACTCACCCTGGATGGTGGGCAGATAGAAGTAGTCGAGAAGTTCGTGTATCTAGGTAGCTGCATAAGTGCTGGTGGGGGTGTGAGTGATCAGATCAATGCACGTATAGTGAAAGCCAGAGCGGCTTATGCCAATCTGGACCACCTTTGGCCCCTTCGTGATGTTAGTCTGGCAGTAAAAGGTCGGATCTACAATGCGTCGGTGAGAGCAGTTTTGCTCTATGCTTGTGAAACCTGGCCTCTCTGAGTTGAGGGTGTTAGATGACTCTCTGTGTTTGATCATCGTTGTCTCCGAAGGATTGCTAACATTCAGTGGCAACACCATGTTAGTAATGCAGAGGTTCGGCATCGTGTGTTCGGGTACAGAGACAATAATTCAGTTGGTGTCACTATCTTGAAACACCGACTTCGGTGGCTTGGACATGTTCTACGAATTTTAGCCCAGAGAATTCCACGTCGTGCATTATTTGCCGACTCTGGGACTGGTTGGAAAAAGCGGAGAGGTGGTCAGTGTATGACACGGTGTCGTGGTATGAAAGAAAGCTGCAAAAAGCTGGCTTATGTTGGTCCTTCACGACTCCCTGGCTGGGGTCCGAGAGATTGTGCGACAGTGTGGTTAGAGACGTTATCATATATGGCTCAGAATAGAAGCCAGTGGCGATCCTGCTGTAACCTTCTTTCGCTTTCTTTATAAAGTGGTTGTACCTTCCTTAACTGAAAGATTTCTTCCGATTGTACCTTTCCGTTTCCCCCATTATTACTATTATTATTATTACACTACCTTACACTAATCTGTTTGTTATTGTTTTTTCTCTTAGAATTCTCATTGTTTTGTGTGGCGCATATATATTCGGTGCCCTCTTGTACCAATATTTATGTGTTCAAATAAATAAAGAATATTACTGAAATAAAAACATCAGTTCGTAGGCTTGCCTTAACTTCAGTTATGAGTTTGTTCTACACATTTGTATGTAGTTGTGGTGTCGTTCGATTGCCTTTGTTATATTAGAGGTTCAATCTATCTAATCAAGTTCGATTCATTGTGCTCCACCTGACTGGGGCAATCGATAACACCTAGCAGCGTGTGCTTTCAGGCTTAAAAGAACTAATAACCTCCCTGGGATTTGAATCCGCATTACAAGAATTTCTCCTAAACGCCTTCATATACACAGCATACCAAAAAAGTTCAAGCGGTTGAGTAACCTACACAAGTAACCATGTTTTAAATTGATCGGCCGAATGCAATCAACGTTAAGAATTACATAAACATGGGAGTCGTTGCTACTTAGTGACCAACCGTTTCAAATATATCAGTCGTATGGGATAGCTGCCTGGACAGAACAATTATAATCTCACTGTAAGATTACATCTATACTTGCGTACATAAACTATTCCAAGTGCAGATCATAATAAAATAATCGAAAGTGTCGTTGTGGGACAAAATGGACGATTGTTCAGTTAACCAGACAAAAATAAAATATTGTGAAAATTTAGTTCTACATGCTTCATTTTGAAACAAAAAAGTAACAAGTAGATAGATAAGGCAAATATACATTTATTCACTTACCTTCTCCTTAGCTTCACATAATAAATCAGTCATAACCATTCGACCTTCAGCATCAGTATTGTTCACGCGAACCCGTACTCCAGCACGTGAAGTTACTATTTCATCACTTACATAAGCATTTTCACCAATGCTGTTACGAACTAAACCTAAAGTACCATGCACCTAAGAAAAACAGAAGAGAAACAATTGTTTGATGAATATCACCTTCAGGTAAACAAAATAAGTTACAAATCATTGACCACATTCTTATAATTGATACTGACAAAAGGAACTCTGTAAACATGCTGAAGGTTATTAGATTTAACATTTAATCTGACTGAACAGATAATTGATCAGGGAAGTAAAACGTAACATGCTATAGATGCATAAAGTGAATAACTGGGTCGAATCATTTAGAAGGACAAATATTGATCAGAATAAGTTAGTTATTAAAAGGAATATGCCAAGGAAAGCCACTAAATGCATTATACCATAATACCAACCAGGTACTATTTGTTTTATTCTACATACAATCCAACGGTGAAAAACTCCGCCGAAAGCCCTTCTATGATTACTGGGGGTCTCAAGCCTGAATAAAGGAGGGTAGAGCATGGGTTCAACAACCACATCTCGTAAAAAACAGTCAGTGAGGGAGGAAGAACAAGTGACGACAAAATGGAAAGACACATCATCAAGAGTCTAAAGAAAAGATCTCAGCAGGCATGAGTACTACAGACGCATCACACTACTTTCATTACCAGCAAACCTTTTCAACAGTGATGTGAACCGGATCAAAGATTAAGTAGACGACAAGATTCGAGTTCAACAGATCAGATCCCGTGAGGATTGGTCGAGCACAGACCAAATCGCTACACTCCTGATTAATATTGTGCAATCAATTGAATGGAATTACTCACTACACAACAACTCCCTTGATTATGAAAAGGCATTTGACAGCGTGAATAGGAGAATCCTTCGAAACCTTCCTCAACAATATGGTGAATCACAGATTTTCAACATCATCCGGAATTCATACTACAAACCACACTGCAAAGTCGTGCATGGAGAGCAGCTGACAAACGCATTCTAGGTGGGGGCCGAAGTCAGATAAGACCGTTTACTCTCTCCCTTGCTCTTTCTTCTCATGGCTGATTTCATTATGAAGACCTTCACATCTAAGAAGAATCACACAATACAATGGACAGCTTGCATGTAACTAGACGATTCAGACTTTAAAGATCATCACCTATTATTATTATTATTGCCCCCGAATGCAACTTGAAGTTTAATTAAAGTACACTATAATATAATGTAAACACTGCTGTAACTAACTGTTCAATAGGCCCTATTAAATCAACTGCATAAAAACCAAATTCACAATCATAACCTTTAGGTTTTTCGGTTTCATTAAGTTTAAAATTTTGAAAAATCCGGCCACAGCAGCTGCACCACATTTATCCCGATGCATCGTAGCCATAATACCTCCAACTTTAAGATCTGAGCCACCTGTATCATAGGTAACACCTTTACCAACTAAAAATAAATTGACTATTTGCTGAGGATCAATTTGTGATTCTGTAGATCCATTGTATTCTAAGTGTACAACGTGACCACGATGTCTTTCATTATCTATGAGTAATTAAAAAACACAAAACATTACAATTATATTTCAATAGATAAATGGGACAATTAAAAAAACATGGAGCACTAGTCTATCCGCATCGCTTAGCATTCATAATTGGAAACTAAGGGACCACTACAATACGATGTAAAATATAATAATTATTATAACAGTTTAAGGTCATGGTAAAGATAAGGACAAGACGTAATTCTTTTGTACGCGCAGTTCTGGCTTTATCTCATTAATGGCGGCAGCTTCTGTTGTTTTGGGGAGTCGAATACAAAGAAATCTATGTAGATTTTGATAAATTCTATAAAATCAACCTATGGATAAGTGAAGTGATTGGAATCGATTAAATGTTCGAAAATAGAACTCCTATGCTTCTTGCTCTGACCTTTGGAGAATCGTCATGGTTACGACCAACGTACCTTACACCAAAATAGCATAAAAACTGACAAACGGACGGTCCGTTACAGATAACCGTGACAAGCCTCTACTAGTGAACGTTAGTTGCAGCTTTTCAGCACAGAACATTTTATAGCTGTCGTTGACTGATTTTAAATAGAACAAAAGTTTGGCCACCTTTAAATCCTAAGTTCACAAAACGATATTTCCCAAAGAAAGAATTTTCGAACACTATGTTCCGAATGCATTTCACGTTTTTCTCTACAAACTGGCCTGAAAAGCCATCGTCCTAAGAAACAAGATTTCGCGCACTAGAGTCGTTAGCCATGGTGACACTTGTGGAGGAAGTTTAGAGTTGAAAGTCCAGGTGGAAGGAATAATAGGAATTGAAGAAAAAAATTGTTATAAACACAGTGATTTTGAGTGCTGTTAGAGATATGAGGGCGGTTATTACTTCCCGGTTGCCCACACCGTGGAAGGGTTCTTCTGGAGGTACTTTTGAAAAGGAAATCGGGTTAGAAGTGGTCTTAGTGACCTGAGAACGTGCTGCAGTGCCCAACGAACAAATGCTTGAGATCGGTCACACTCGACCTTTTTATGAGTATTTTCGTGTGAGCTCCGTACTTGTTCCGACCTCACCGCTGGAGACGGATATCCGTGGAATAAGGCGGTGTGCACTTTTAGAGTCGACCTTTAATAACTTCATTCCTCCTTATGGGAAGGCAGTTTCGCTGTTATGCTGGTTGTCTGAAGGAAACACCTTACTGCCGCCACACTTCTGTACATTCAGCAGTACGACTTCGCCCTCAAATCTTGGGTTTGCTGCTTTCAATCTTACCGCTCTTCGGCCAACCTGTCTGGAATGGTAGGACCTTGAGGAACGGTTGTTCCAGCCAGTATACATCGATTGGTTCATCACGATAAGCAAGCCTGACCTCTACGTCAAGGTGGCAGCAACAGTTGGGACCTCCCTGTCAGAAGCTTATTGGGCAATGAAATAGTACGGCCTACTACATTTTCCAACTTGGAATCACGGGAAGGATGGCATGTACTGAGAGAATGAAAATTTTCAATTAATTGAACATTCGTCGCAAAAGGAAGAAGTGTCGTTCATATAACAGTTCAGCAAGAAGTAGTATCCATTTATAGTCGAGTAAACAAACTTCACTTCACTTTTGTCTCACAACAAACATCAGTTAGTCAGTCAGTAACAACGTAGAACTTCGTACGTACGTACATCAGTTCGAGTTGCCACACCACATTAGCACAGAGATGCAGTGGTCGATTCAAATCCCGTAGTGCTAGATGTAGTAAAATAATAAGCTGTAATCAGAAAAATTAGGGTTTGAAGATGTTATTCAAGGAGTATAACCGAGTGAAATAAATTTGGAAAGAGAAAAAAGAAAGGGACATGAAGAATCCAGAAGATTAGAATTTGGGAGAACACAAAGAGTGTATGCACCTGCGCCATTGCAAACGATTTTGAGCCATATCATCCAGGGTTTCTAACTATCAGTTGCCATCATCTCACGGTCCCCAACCAGGTAGTCTACACCTACCAATATGACTCAGTCTACTTGTCAGGGACTTCATGGATTTGTGCCATGTTTTGGTCACAACTAATATCGAATTTCTATTTTCCTTGACGATCCTAAATTCACATGCTTTAATGGCGAATTTCTGCTTGGTTGGGTTCGTTCAAATGCTGGTAAACTAGTGTACCAAATTAACACAGGTTACGTGACTTTGTGCCCCTAAATGCCCTGGTATGGCCGAGAGTCAGGTGGGCCCGCCCTCTCTCTTGAAATACTCTCACACGGCCACGCGTATACAGCCTCTGCCAGGGAAGTCCTACTCACTGCCTCCTCGTGGCGAGGGTGTTATTTAATAAAAATGAGAGAACGAAAAGCGAATGTCCGGTGCTTTAACCGGATCCCAAACCAATGGTGCACGTGGGCTCCAGTATCCTGCGGGAACAAATGGAGTATGAACCAATCGTTGGTCACCGGCTACCATGGGACTGCATCTCCGCACGATGCTCCACTGCCTTGTGGGTCAGACCTTTAGGTCAAAGGCTCGGGGTGTGGCCCCCTAAGATAACCACCTGCTTCGGTCTGGGCACCCGGGCAGTATCACAGCCCACACACAAATATAATGATAATGAAAATGTGTGGTGCATATATATTTGGTGCCCACTTGTACCAATATTTATGTGTTCAAATAATAAATAATAATAACGTGGCTTTGTAAGAATAGCTGTTTGAAGTAGGATGCAAATCGTGATAATTAACAAGAAGAGAAAAAGTTGAAGAGCCTTTTCCCAGGTACTGGGAAATACTTACGTCAGACCTGTTTCCAGAATATCATCGATTCCAAAGTTGAAGTGTGGTGAAATTAGGCAACTGTGCAAAATCTCATTGCATGAATAAAATAATGGAGAGAGGTAGTTGTATACCTTCACTCTGTCTGTGTTTGTGTACAAACTTCAAAATATCAGTAAACTTCTCGGGGGACACTGCTACAAAAGACAATCCCAAAGCGCAATCATATCCCACGAAACAAAGGTAACACTCATATCAAGGAACATAGATTTTTAGCCTTTACGAAGTGTGGAAAACCAAAAACATTCGCCGGACGGTGATATGATTAAAACTTGATCTAAAATCAGTCAATCTCATTGGTTTTGTACAATTTACGAAGCACAACGAACGTTAACAGTTTGGATACGATCGAAAGTAGACGCATCCCACAGCAATCACTGTATTAACAAGACAGGTCAATTTCAAACATAGAGATGATGACTGATTCATTCCATAATGTTAGGGCAGTGTTTTCCTAACATTTCCTACCAAACACGTTAGTTTTCTGACCAGGTGTTCGCTATCATCTTTAAAATGAGTCAGAGTCACATCGTTAAGGTATGGTGAATTTCGGAGCTTCAACAGTTCCTCGTGAACCTTCACTTCGTAAGGTGGACCGGTTGCCACCGGCCACTACAGACAAGACAGTCTGCAAGAATAATACTCAGCTTATTAATCTTGTGTTAAAGCTTACCCGTGCCATCTAAGTTTAACACCATGAACATTAACAACATACCTAGGAGATTTTAAGTGAATTTCGGATGTGGCATAGATAGATCAAGCGAACGGATCTACAAAGCTCCGTTTAATTTAATTGATATATTATCATAACTCCTCGAAAGTATAGAATGCGAAACACGCTAAGTTCGATAGTCCTAATGACACATAAGTGGTATCATTTGCACATGGAAAACTACTAGATATTTTCAATATATGTAAACATGTAGTACACAAATGAGTTGAGCTGTTTTTTTCATTATTTTGCTGTCAAGCTAAAGAAAATAACTTACTTCCACGATCTACTATAGCTGCCAGAGGGTAAAGCCCTCGATCAACAGGACAATCAGTCATCTGAACAGGTTCTGTCAATTCTTTTTGAAGGTACGTCACTATATTCTTTGCACTCATACGTTCTGGGTCAGATCCACCTATATCACGTGCTACTCGTAGACCCTCTTCCAAACACCACGCCAATCCAGTCTATATAGTTCAGATAAGGAAAAACTAAGTCAAAATCATGGTTTATGAATATATATAAATACATTAGTTTCGGAAAGTAGAAATGGCTATGGATGAAGAAAACCACATAGTATAGACAGTAATGAAATAACAACAGTTATTAACTGGTTAACTCAAACGCTATTGTACAATCTAACATATCCGATGACTAAGCGGACCACTAAGTAGACTGTTATACATTTCCAGAGCGAGTGATTTTACTGATAGCTGGAATCTCTAGATAAATCGAGGTGCCCATTACAGAGCTTCAGTATATAGCATTAACAATCACAGCGTTATTAGGAACGAAGTAGAACTAGTGAATAGAAAACAAGTGACCCATATGAACTAGTTTTGTAAACTGACAGATTAACAAAAAGTCCAATTAAGCTAACGAAGTAAATCACAACCCAATATAAATAATTTAACAATTCTTTCAGCGTAATGTATGAGATACAAACCCGATTGATGGATTTGGGAAATAGTAGAGAGACATATGTCCAAGAACCACTTGTATATTTTTCAATTATCTTCGTTTTCTTCATTATTTGTGTGTAACACAACTTTTAAATATACTGGTTAATTGTTGCTAATCGTACACGACCAGCATCATAAGCGTCGTATTATTGTTTCCATACATGGTTTGAATAGTGATACAAGAATATGGTCATGATGCGTTAAACATGACAGAAAATAAGTTGGGTTCGAAGTGCAACTTTCAATCACTTAAACTACATTGAGTGAAGTTATGGGACAGCCGATATCCTGTTGCTGTCCAAATTAAAGAATAAAGTAACTGAGATATGACTGAATTGTAGTTTAGGAACTCAAACCAAACCAGGTGAAAACTACACTATAAAAAGATATGACAAACATTAAACCTAAACAAAGATCATTACTTACGACAATATTTTATAAATAGCCAATTTGTTCCAAATATTAAAGCACTAACAACAAAATATAATAAAATCTTACAATTTTCTCGTGGTCTACTGCGTAATGTGTCCCAGAAAACCAACCCAGGACTTCAGCTTTTTGTGACTGAATAGGTTTTGTGCATGTAGAACCTTCCGGACGGTCAAACTCACGAACTTCGAGGGGCTGATTAAATAAAGAAAATTTAAAATTAGTGCCTTCATTTTACTGGCGCCACATACATTTTGAAAGTTTAATTTTGTAATATAAGAAACGAAAGTTAAAAATGTGCTTAAACTCCCCCCATATAGTTTACCACTTGAAATCATCATCAAGAGGAAAACGATAACAGGATAAATCAAGTGACTATGGGCAACAAAACGCTTAAGAGAGTAATAGACGGATAAAGACAAGACAGAAATACAAAAGTATTGGATAATATATACACTTAGAATGAACGTTTTTATACAGTTTCTATTGGTTTTGAGCTTTATTACTAATTACACAGACACTAATCAACAACCCTTTCACCATTCAGATTTCAAAGACGAATGTAACGTCCTCGCTTAATTTAAACCCTGAATTAACGATAAACGAACGAGACGTTCAGTGATATGAACCATTATCGCTAGCAATGCCACAGGAGTATTCACCTTCCGTAGAACATAAACTTCTAAATTTCTTGTACTTGTGAATAGCAACTTTACTTTCAATGAACTATAAAATACCACTCGATTGAATATTGTACGTGTAGAAAAATTTAAATCAGTGAATTATTATTTATTATTTGAACATATGAATATTGGTACAAGTGGGCACCAAATATATATGCACCACACCATATTTGTGTGTGTGGGCTGTGATACTGCCCGGGTGCCCAGACCGAAGCAGGTGGTTATCTTAGGGGGCCACACCCCGAGCCTTTGACCTAAAGGTCTGACCCACAAGGCAGTGGAGCATCGTGAGGAGATGCAGTCCCATGGTAGCCGGTGACCAACGATTGGTTCATACTCCATTTGTTCCCGCAGGATACTGGAGCCCACGTGCAACATTGGTTTGGGATCCGGTTAAAGCACCGGACATTCGCTTTTCGTTCTCTCATTTTTATAAATAACACCCTCGCCACGAGGAGGTAGTGAGTAGGACTTCCCTGGCAGAGGCTGTACACGCGTGGCCGTGTGAGAGTATTTCAAGAGGGAGGGCGGGCCCACCCGACTCTCGGTCATACCAGGGCATTTAGGGGCATCATTGTTTCTTTGCTTATTCAGTGAAACGGGAACGAAATTGTATTTTGGTTCAAAGCACATTCCGGGGTGCGTGATCTATCGCTGCGTACTTCGGTAACTTGGTCATGTCAGATGAGTCGTGGTGCAAATCAGTGAAACCATACAATCGATTCAATATTGAATTAGTCGTAGTATATCGCAGTTCAGAATGTGTAGATGATTTTCCCCTAAGTAAACTTAGGTCCTGGTGTAACAAGGGTAAAAGCCTTGTAGTAGGCGACTTTAATGCACCGTATATAAACTGGATTAACTAAGAAGTAGGGTCGTCGATAATGTCATTCGATTGCAAACTGTTAGAAGCTTCGATTGCATTAGCCTTATTCCAACACATTAGAAATCCCACAAGATATGACTTAAGAAAATCTTCTTATCTGTTAGATTCAGTTTTCACACACGGTGATGACGTTGGTCAAATGACTTTTCTCCCACCGCTAGGGAGAAGTGACCATGCAGTCATATTATTCAAATTCATGGCTGAGATTGCCTGTCAAACAGTTGCTCCGGCCCGTCCTAATATATGGAAGGCAATCAACTCTGCAGCATCGGCTGAAAACTGGGAAATTGACTCAAGGGCATCAGTACAAGAGGCATGGACTTTTTTCAGGCACTTATACAATCGGGTAACTCAACCATACATACCTTGGACAGTCCCAAAGAAGAAGAAGGAGAAGCACGGCCATCCCTGGATAGGCCGGGATATTCGACGTCTACTAAGACAAAAGAAGAAATATTGGAATGTTGCTATCCGCTTTGGCACAACAAGTACGATGGAACGCTACATATCGATAAGAAACACGTGACAGTGAGTCATGATCTTAAGAAGCAGCCCCTTGCCGGGAGGTTGCAGCTAAGAGGTTTAGAACCCTCTGGGCTTTAAAACGGACACTCACTAAGTTAGATATTACCATGTTCACCACAGTATACACAACTTTAGTGAGAACTAAGCTTGAGAACTGCGTCCAGGCTGCAAGCCCCTGATTAAAAGGTGACTCGGATATCCTAGAAAAAGTACGGAGGACAGCTAACCGTGAAATTCCAGAACTCCGGGGTTTACCATACAAAGAGCGGCTTGAAAAGCTGGACCTCTTTACTCTGTCCTATCGCAAACTAAAGTCAGATCTAATTTTCATGTATAGAATACTGGAAAATGATTTTGGACCTAACTTGTTTTTCCCACTAGATTGGGACATCTTAGAGGACATAGCAGACTAGTAGAAAAGCCAATAACGAACAAAATACTCGTGGCATACAGGTTCTCACAACT